GCTGCTGTCGGAGCGCGCGGCCATCCTGCTCGAGCTCGGCAAGGTGAGCGACGAGAAGGCGGGCCTCGTCGCGCAGGGCAAGGTCCGCGCCCTGCGGAACACGGCGACCCTCGCGCGGAACTGCGACGCCAAGGCGAAGAAGCTCAAGGCGTCCAGGGACAAGGTGGGCCGCGCCCTGTCCAAGATCAACAAGCAGCGCCGCGAGCTCCAGCGCCAGGTCCTCGCCGAGGCCGCGGAGTCGGACGACGAGTCCTTCAACAGCGCGGACTGCGACGACGACGACAGCGCGGGCGACTTCGACTCCGCGTCCGAGTCCGACGACGACGTCCACATCCGGAACCACGACGCCGCGGCGTTCTCGCAGAGCGACGACGAGTCCGACGACGACGGCCCCGCGCCGCCGAAGCGCTCGAAGACGCCCCCGCCCGGCTCCTGAACGGCGCGCGCCTAGCAGCCCACGCCGAGTCGCCTCTTCTTAAGTGCGTCGTCTCTCTCCCGGGCGGAGCACGGCGGGTTCAAAGCAGCCTCCAAAAAAATCCGTCCGAGTGCGCACTGTCTCGACTTTCGAAAACCGAGACAGTACGAATTCGCCCTGAGTTGTCGAGTGGCGGAACTCCCTGCCCCGCGTCCAAGCGGCCGCGCATCGACGGGGCTTGGATCCAGGGCACTACTAGAAACCCGCGACGGCCATGGCAGCTTAGAGTTCGCTCGACGAGAAGACGATGTCCGACCACGCGTCGGTGCGGCGGCGCTCCGCGTACGCGCCCTCGTTGACGACGAAGCGGACGCACTGCGCGGGCTCCTTCGCGGGCTCGAGGACGAAGACCTCGGCCGCGAGGAGGGAGAGCACGACGCGCTCCCGGGCGCCGGCGGAGTAGGCGGAGCCCCAGGACGCGAGCGCGCCCGCGGTCAGCGCGCGGAACGTCGCCTGGTCCTTGCGGCGCTCGGCCGCCGCGCGCACCGCGTCGCAGAGCTGGGCGATCTCCGGGACGGCGCGCCGCTCGACGTGCGGCGCCGAGGCGCCGGCGGCCGCGAGCTTCGCGTCGCACGCGGGGCAGCAGCCGGACCGCGCGACGGCGGCGGCCGGCGCCGGCTCGTCTCCGAGGATCGTCGCGGCGACGGAGCGCCAGCAGTCCGCCACCGTCTCGCAGAGCCTGACCACCTCGCAGAAGGCGGCCAGCTTCCGCCGGTCGTCCCGCAGGGTGGCCGCGACCTGGAAGTACTCGCCGCGCCGGAACGCGAAGACGACGCGTCCCACCTGGCCCGCGCCGCGTGCCGCGCGGCCGACGAGCTGCAGCAGAGCAGGGACGCTCGAGGGCGGCTGGGCGACGACGATCGTCCCGAGGTTGGGGTGGTTGATGCCCCGGTGCCCCGCCTCGTTGAGGACCATGACCCGCGCGCGCGAGGGCTCGCTCGCGGAGGCGGTCCAGTCGCGGAGCCGTTCCCGCTTCGCGTCGGTGCCGTCGCCGCCGTGGATCGTGACGACGCGCTCCCGAGGAAGCGCGGCCCTGAGGCCCACGCCCGCGCGGTCGACCGCGACGCGCGTGAAGGCGAAGACGAGGGCGGCCTCGAGCTGGGGCGCGTCGGCGACGATCCGCTCGACCCGTCGCGCGGCCTCCTTCCACGAGCCGCGGCCCGCGTCCCGCTTCTCCATGGCGACGCCGGGCCGCAGGCCCGCCGTGCGGACGACGAGCGTGCCCGGCGCGGACGCGTCGGGCGCCGGGATCCGGAGCGCCTCGAGCAGGACGCCGACGTCGTGCTTCGCGACCGTGCCGGACATCGCGTAGACCGGCGGCGGGGCCTTGGGCGCGCCCTTGGTCGCGATCGACCGGATGACGACGCCCTGCCGGGCCTGCGACTCGCGGTAGGACCCTGCCACGCCGGCCTCGTCGTCGGCCTCGTCGATGACGAAGCAGGACACCCAGCCCCGCGACGTCGCGTGGACGAGCCAGGTCGCGACGGTGCCGAGCATCTCCGGGGTCAGGACCATGATGCCCAGGTCGACGACGCTGTCCTCGACGGCCTGCAGGACGTGGTGCCGCGCCCGCGGGGCGGCCGTCGCGTCCTCGTCGCCCGGCCCGAGGAAGACGACGTCGCAGCTCTTCCGCTTCTCGCCGCGGGCGGCGACGTAGACCGCGAACTTCCCGCCGCGGCCCGCCCAGGAGCTCGCGTAGCGGCCGTTGAGGTTGCGGACCATGTCCTCGCAGAGGAGCTGGGTCGGGCAGACCCAGACGGCGAACGCGACGCCCCCGCGCTGGCGCGCCTCGAGGGCCCGCGCCGCGGCGAAGAGCGCCGCCGGGGCCGACTTGCCGAGGCCGCAGGGCACGGCGACCAAGACGTCGCGCTGCGACGTGAGCGCCGCGAGGGCGCTCGCCTGGAACCGCCTCGGGACCTCGCCGTCGCGGAAGTACCGCCGCGCGAAGCTCGTCGCGTCGCAGAAGGGCTCCCGCAGCCCGTCCCAGCCGTCGTCCGCGGGGCCCAGGACGCGCGCGTCCGTGGCGCGCGCGCGCACCCGCTCGGCGACGTCCAGCTGCGCGCGCAGCACGTCGCAGCAGTCGCGGTAGGCGCGGAGCAGGTCGCCGACGTCGGCGTCGGGACCTTGCTCGACCCGAACGGCGTCCCGGACGGCGTCGCCCATGGCGTCGAGCGCTCGCACGAGCTGGTCGTGCTCGCAGATCCCGTCCGCCGCCGGCGTCGAGGCCGAGGAGGCCGCCGACGCGGCCGACGCGCACGACCAGCGCCGCAGCACGGAGCTTCGCCGCGCGGACGGCGCGACGGCGCCGAGCCCGGCGAGCGAGTTCCGAAGCGCGTCGCCCGCGCCGCGCGGCGTCGAGCCCGATAGAGCGCGTCGCGGCGCCCGCCGCGCTGGGCTCCCGCACGCGCTGGCTGCCTGATCCGGCGCGGGGCGCGAGGTCGCGCCGCACGCGTCGCACGGGTTCGCGTTCTCCATGGCTGGGCAGCGACCTTCTCCGGACGCCTTCCGCGGCGTTTGCGGCGTCTCCGGCGGCGTTTTTTGCGCCGCGAAGGGCCGGAGGTGCTCACAGGTGACCTTGCGGACCTCGGAGACGCTCGCGGGCCTCGACGGGCCGAACTTCGGCCGCCGCCTCGGGTCGCGCTCTCAGCGGAGCTGGATGCCTGCGGGTACCACGACCGATCCCTCTCCCTAGCTCGCCGGGGGTCCGCAGGCGGGTGACCCATCCAGGGAACCGGACCCAGCCGAAGCGGCCCCGAAGCGCCCGGGCTTCACTGTCCGCCCCTACAATGATTAAGGCTAACCAGGGGGAGGTACGTAAACCGCAACCTGGCATCTAGGCTCACACACCCGCCTTACTAGTATATTCGGGTGGTATTCTAACATATCGATGGCCCAGTCGCGTCGTCAGGGGAGTAGTAAGGCCCGGAGTAGGGGGGCCTTCTGGATGATGGCAGGCTTAGGGTTGTTGTTGTGCCGGGGATGGGCCTCGCTGGGGCTCCCGTGACCGAGGTGGGCAAGAAATGGCATGAGTAAGATCGCGGGGTTCCATAGCAGCCGGGTCATAGCCCCCTGAATAATGCTTGCTGCTGACCAGTATCCTTTCTCACAGGAAAACGCCTTCACGATCATAGAATATGTCTCCGGTCACGAGTTTGAGACCACTAATCCGTTGAGTCGCCACAGCCCACTGAAGAATTTTCAGCTATCCGGGGCCATGAACGAGCTGAGTCCCAGCACAGCTGGTTTCAGGTTGATCCGTCTCACGAAACCCACTAATGATACCCCGGAGGAGGAGCGAGTTACTCTGCAATTGGACCTTAACTCACAGGGTCTTGCCTGGAATCGAACTGAAGTTGGCATATTTTTCGCATGCGGGCGCAATCGACATACGCCAGACCCCGGGCGCCACACACGAATCGGCAACTCTGGTATCATTTGGACCCGGGGGGGGGGGCGACAGGTTGCCTGCTGGGATCTACTTCTCAACGGTAAAAATTATGCGACCCGGCGTAATGTCAATGTGACAATACCCTGATTGAGAGATTTCAGTCTAGCAATAGCCTCGTTGAATGAAGTAAAGGGCATCCCGTTGATCTCTACAAGGACGTCGCCTAGTCTGACACCGCCCTCTTGAGCCTAGGTGGTGAATCTTTAAGAGCTAGATTATCCATGAGGGGCAAGGGACGCTCTTAGCGTGCTGGGCTGCCTGCACGAAAGCCCCTCGTGACTACCTACACACGCCGCATTACTTACAAAGCAGTCAAATAGTGACACGCGCCTGATTTGCTTCATCAGCCAATTGTAGACCAAGGCCTTGGGCACCAATTCGCACAGTCATTTTAAATTGACCTCCCTGATGCGGTGACAGCAGGTCAGTACCTAAGCTTGCGCAGACTCCAGGGCAGTTGTACAATTGAACACATTCCTAGAAACCTGGCAGTTGTCGTCTAGTTGTCTGGATATTATTCATTGCAGCATTTGCTTTGATGAGCCGATCCCGAGTGTCTTCCAATTGAGAACGCTTTGCTACCATAGCGTCATCCTCAGTGAAAAATAGCTCTAACTGAGCTTCATCATGCACGAAATGGTAACACTTTTCTTGAAGTTTACCGCACAGAGTTCCAAGGATGCGGTCATCAAGGCACATGCACGCATTGTCGATAAATCGTTTGGATGCGAGAGTCCAGTAAGCTTCTAATATGGCCGACATATCCTCCGCATTCGCGGATGAGCTAACACCATGTGCTGAACGATACCAAGAACGAAGAGATGCACCCACATGCTCTTTGGTTGCCTGCCAAGAGCCTGATCCTGGCCCATCATATGCGGTCCCTTTGAATGCTGTATCTACCGAGGCTTCAAAGCGATCATACCGCAGCTTATTAATATGAGCTTGCAGGAATTCATTGATGGTAAATGGGTCTTTCTCACGGGTTACAAGACCTTCAAGCAGCTTCAATGCCTCATCTTCCGACAGTTCCAGAATAGAAGAAGCCACAGTCTGAAAAGAGTCTCTGAGGTTTGGATATGAGATTGCTATTTTTTTGAACATTTCATGAACGACTTCATTAGCCAAGGCTCGCATTTGAGCGGCGGCCATGCGAGCCGGCGCCGCCCACGCATCAATGAATTCCTGTATGAACATATAGAATGACTGCGCACTCATAAATCCAGGAAGCTCACGGCCACGCAGGGCTTCCATTTGACGGGCCAAGTCTGTAACAAAACCATGTGCTCGAAAGGGGGGCGCAGTGGCAACCACACGGGACTGCAGCTCTTGAAATATGACCAGCGCGCGAGTATAGAGCCTCAAATTAGGATTACATACTATAAGTCGGTCGCGATACTCGCCACGAACACAATCATTCAAGTGTCTGACAAATTCTTGTGTTAGAGTGACCAGCAGCTTTTGTCGGTCGCTGGCTGAGGACGCACTGCCGTATGATGAAATCGCGCGCACCTCCGCCCGAACACCACTGAGCATCAGTTCAACTCTGCGTTTCATTGGCGCAAGTTCTTCCTTAATGCGAGATACAAGAATTTTGGTCAGTGCGTATGTCAAATTTTTGATACCAAGCAGCCGTTGATCAAGGCACGAAAATATTGGGTGCGATACAAAAAAGGCCTCTTCATCTTCCTTCGCTGCCTCAGGCGAGGTTCCATTTCTTATTTGAGCCTGGGAGCGATTTTTAACCATGACATAGCCAAGTTTTAAGGGCTTGCGAATGTTCTTCAGCACTGCAGCAACTTCTTCTTCGTTGCCAGGGCCAATTAGATCGGGCTTTGTGAGAACACCGAGGGTGCGTTCACCTGTCGGATCAACTAGGCGGGCGCGCTCCAGGATATCTACAGTCGCAATATCTTGATTAGCTGGTATTACAGCTAGGATTATTGTACGATCTTGTCTTAGATACTCATCAATAAGTTTATCAACTTCAGCTATCACCTGCAGACCTTGCCCCACAGTTGCCGTGCGTACAATTCCTGGTAAATCAACAACTGTCAGTTCCGGTGACTCGGGCGAGGAAAGTCTGACTATGATGGCCTCTGAAGAGAAGCCCTGGGTGTTGCGCGTTAATGTTTCAGTCAACCGTGAAATCAGTTCAGCGAGTTCAGTAGGTGTTTCTGCAGCTACAGTCTGTGCTGATGATGTGGTAGAAACGAGAGCTGACCATTGCATGCCAGCTGCAGCGCGACGCATAACAAGGCGCACTGGGCAACGGGTGACAAGCCCAGAGCCTCTTGGAAATGGAACACCGGACAAAGCCTCAAGCACGGAACTCTTACCGCTGCTCTGGTCACCCATAACGCAAATCTACTCTCATCTATAAGCAGGGGTGAAATATATTAAACACGCACCTGCGGCACCGACAATGTGTTATCTAACGAGAGGTCTCTGAGGTCTTCGGCGAGCTCGAGCCTGTTGCGATCGCGGTCGACCGTTATTCATTTTTCAATTGTTTTTGATTGACTAACCACGGCCTCACTTCCTTCTCATAATCAATTTCAAGGTTGCTCATCTCACACACGGTGCTATAGCTTATACTAGTACTACAGTAACCTAGCATAAACCGACTTGGTAGCCTGAGCGGGGCGGCAGTGTCCCGACCAAAGTACATCTACGCCGGCGCATAGGAATAATTAAAAATTAATTAATAATACATTTCGGCCCGGCGCAGCGAGATTCATTAGTCGTCCATAGAGGCTGTGCATCGACCGCGCGCGCATCGACCGTGCGCGCGTCGATCGCGCGGTGAAATCGCGGCAAAAATTCGTTTATGCCCGTATCAAAGTGAGCGCGATGATACGCACGCGTTAATTGCACGTTTGCGGTGACTTTCCGCGCGCGGTTGTGGGTTCGGGACCGGAAATCGCAAGATTTAATAACTTCAACAAGCATGCTGAAGTTCAACAAAAATGTTGACTTTTAAATCCACGCCAATAGAATCTGAGTTTTGATCGGGACACTGCGGGGCGGCCAATTTTGCATTTTCTGAGTCCTCTGGAGCCCCTCCGCTGGTAGAACTTCCAAGCCCTCCGATTGGTTCGGTTTTCGTGGCTGAACACAGCCCTACGTGCCCATGCCGTACGCTGAGCCCCCCGCTGACCCCCGGCCACTGTCGACGGATGGCTGGGGCGAAATTACGAACTCCACGACCCCGACGGAGAACGCCGAGCCCCGCACGTCTGTGTACATAGCCGACGCTGTGTTTTCGTTCCTGATGTCAGGAAGACCGTAGGCAACAACCTGCGGTATCCCAAGGTGGGCTTTTATGTTGAAGTCACGTTGAAGTTCAAGCAAACTAAACTTGAATGTTATTTAGAAAAGTAACGCGGACGACCTTGGATACGCTTTAAGGACGCTCCTCCAGCCCAGCGGGGCTGAGGATCTTCCCCTGGTGATGCCTAAGTTTCTCTCCAATGTGCGAACGCGCTGCCAGCGATTTTCAATCCACGGGCTCATATGCATGTGCTCATTGACCCCCGCTAAAAACCATCAGCGCCAAACCTAAAGGAACACGCATCCTAGAAAGCACAGCGATTGCCGCAATTCGACCCTGGTGTTGCGGCGCCGTGTTATACTGCCGCCCCTAGTCCCGGAGCGCCCTGGTTCTGAGCGACCCGGCTTCGGAACGCTTTGGTTGCCTATAGCGCCTGGTCCGCGCCCCGTTGTGTTATTTTCATCCTCCGTACGTATCTTCCCGCATCCGGTGCATCCAAGGTCGTGTCTTTGAGACTCCGATTCTTGTCTCGGGGGGAAATGTGCGCCTCTGAAGCCCGAGGCCCGTCTCCTTGCGCAAGCGAAGCTGCTGGTTTCCATATTTTTTGTCGGCACATGGCCTTCTGGAGAAAAATGTACGGAGCGAGATTGGTCTTCAAGCGAGGATCCGCGGTGGCTGCTGGCTGGGTTCTAAATCCCAGGGCGTGTGCTTTATTGCAAGGGCGGGTTATCGCGCGATGATCCCGTTGTCGACCCGCAGGTTTGCCTCTCGGTGTCACATCCTTGAAAGGACGCTGCGCTACAAGCAATGCTGGACCGTGGACCAATGTGCATATGGGCGCTGTGTTGGGTACATATGGGTAGCGGAGTCTCTCGGTGCAACGAACGAGCACCCCTTTCACAAACAATGCTGCAATCGCACGCAGGGATCTGCCGGAGGCACGCAAGCATCTGGCACGTGCATCCACTAGGGTCTCAAAGAGACCCTTACTGAAACTCGATGTTTCCGGGTATAGTAAATTCCTGGACTGGTGATTATCAGAAGTGTCGATGAAATTTGATCCTGACTTCTTGGCGATAGGCGCAGAAGCCAAGGTTTCGGTACACATGCTCTTAAAGTGAAACAATTTTGAGCAGGTGAGCATATTGTTTGGATCTGCAATTCTGGCCAAGTCACTGAGGTCATTTTCTTCATAGAACAAGTCTTCATCAGGGAGGCGAGTTTGGCACTCCCGATGATTGTTGCCCCGTGTTTGTGTATAGCCGATGACCGTACCACAGTCTGTTGCGATTACTATAAACTCGCCATTCCCAACCACTGCAAGCTCGATCAACGGTCTACCAATGGAATTTTCAAATACTCTAACAAGGACCAACTGCTCCGCGTTCCATAAACGTAGGGATCCATCGAGTGAAACTGATAAAAATAGCGCGGTCTGACTCGGGTGCAAATCAAGTCGTGTCACCCCTCGTCGATGTCCTGAGAACGTATGGAGATGAGATAAGGTCAGATCTTTATTCAATGGATATTGCTCACAGTCGATCTCGACATTCTCATGCTCTCGGTACCAGATCTTAATGGAACCACCAAGACAACTAGTGGTAAAATAATACGATCGTGGGAAAGATATAGCATCAGTTATCTGATGATCATGCAAATTGCCCGCAAGGCGTGCTAGCCTCTTGCTATCGCTGATATGAAAGATGTCTACACATTGAGCCTGGGGCCAGATCACGACAGCTGTGTTAGTATGCTCGTGATATCTCAGGGAGCTCACCCAAGGTGGACAAGTATACACGCGGGTCAGCTGGAGGATCCAGCGCTTTGTTCGGCCGTTGCGTGATGGTTGAGCGGAGAGCCGGAATGTGCGAAGACCCATACTTCCGCCGGTGAGAACCTCCTCAGTTTGACTTATGTAGGCCATGTCTTGCACGATGTTTTGGCCCATCGGCACAGTACCTATGACGTCAAGAGAGGCATTCAATATCATCATTGACATATCCTTATCTATGGAAGCCAGAAGATGGACGCCCGCGATAACGTGGAAGCAGACCGCACGGAGGACATGCATTCCATGCACGTTCTTGTTTGGTTTTCGTATGATGTTGCTACTGTCGCTACGCCACACTGATAACTCCTTGCTACTAAGTGCTACAAATTCAAATGACTTGCAGCAGTCACCAGTGGTTTTGCGCGGCACTATCTGCAGCTTAAATGCACTCTTAGAACAGCGCCCTCTATGCTCAAACGCTTTGTACATTCTTACAAAAGTGACGAAGATCTAGATACAGCCTTAGAGGCTCATGAGAAGACAATAGTGCAGCCTCGTCTGTCGGCGGCAGGGTGTGCGTCGCGTCGAGATAATAAATCGTTTCTACCGCGGTAGGTTCGGACAAAAGATACGCCTCGAGACGACGACAGCACGGTCGCACCTGCGGGGCTGCTAGGGGTGGCCTCGAGCTCCGGGGTACGGGGTGTAAACTTAGATTAGGTCCTACTTGGGCGTACTCGTGGAGGTTTCGGGCGACTCCCCCTGGGTCCGGGGTTGGTAGCAACCCACCTTAGCCGCCTCTATTAGCCGCCATGGGGGTTTAAAAAATCTTCAGTGTCCAGTACTTTGGAGGCGCCTCGCTTCGACTTTCCTGGGAGTACGATTTAGAATTCTAATGCTCCTGCGGTGCGCCTATAACGCCAATGGTCGCGCAAGTACGCGCCGCTTTAATCCCTTCCCGACGCCGGCGGCGTTTTTTTTTGCCCCGGCCGAAATCGGCACGGCTCACGGCC